ATATCTATTAAAATTTTGATTAATCGTGTTAATTTTAAATCCCTAATTTTATTCTCTTACCCATATTTGTAGTCTATTCTTTCGTGTTTCTCCTTCTCTTCTACATTCAAGTTATGGTTAGGGGATTTAAGGGAACCTTGGAAGTTTGAATCGCTGCATTGATTGTGTTTTTTAAAACTTTTAGGTAGTTTTTTTTAGTTCGGGCAAGTCTACAATATCCATACTATAAATTATAAAATGTGTCCAAAATTCAAACCAATAACATGATGACGTATTTACACGACAAACAGGTTGTAAAATTGTTTAGGTGCACAGCTGCTACATCTTGAGTTTTTTATTTTATTTTTAAACTCACTGCATCCACATGTGGAATTATGCACATTTTGTGACTCGAGGCTGAACGGAATGTGTTCAGTTGTGTATATGTGGTGTCATGTATATTGGCAACGATGCCAATTTATATTTCATGAGTAATTTGTTGGGTTTTTTTTCCTCAATGCTGCACAAGGCCCAATGTTACTTTTGTGGGGTTCAAGAAACTTGGGGATCAAGGAACCCTAGTTCCCACTTTTGATGTTCTAGAATCTTCCATCATCTCCTATATAATCTTGTGATATACGAGAGGTTAAGGTTAGACAATCTGAGACAATTTTGAGAGAGCACCTCTAGGGAGAAGTTTGAGTGTTAGACCTCCTTAGGGAAGTTTGAGTGAATACCACCATTGAAGGTGAGGTTTGAGTGTACCACCATTATTGGTGAAGCTTGGTATCTAGTACCCATTATTTTCATAGTAGAAGTTTGATTCTAGACTACTGTCCCATGGCCTTTTACTTCTTCACATTGAGGAAGGTTTTTCCACGTTAAAAGACTACTATTTTTCTCTGTCCTTCTCTTCTTGCATTTTTTTTCTGCTGCGTACAGGCCAACCTGGTGGCTCACGCCGACCTCTGATTGTGATTGCTGAGTCCGAGCTCTACGTTTGATTCGCGACACTCTTTCGAGTTTTGGGATGTGAAGACTTGGTCTATCGTTTGAAGAAGAGCCTATATGGCTTAAAATAAGCACCTCGGCAGTGGTACTAGAAATTTGAATCTTTTATGACTGATCACAAGTTTGTGAAAACAAAGGTCAACCACTGCGTATTTGTGAAGAGATGTAAGGCCGGTGATTTTTTTATTTTGCTTTTATATGTTGACAACAAGATGATTGAAGGGCAAGACAAAATGTGGATAGCCACCCTGAAGAAGGCGTTAAGCTCGTCCTTTAAAATGAAGGACCTTGGCCCTGCAAAGAAATTCTCGAAATCAAGATCATCCGATACCGACAAAGAAAGCTACTGTGGCTGAGTCAAGAAAAATATATTGAGAAGATTCTGAACAGGTTCAACATGGACAAAGCTACGACAGTCAGCAACGCCTTAGCCGGACACATTACGCTGAACCAGAAGCAATGTCCGAGATCTGATGAAGAAAAATAAGAGATGCTGAAGATCCCGTACCAATTAGTTGTCAGAAGCTTAATGTATGCAATGGTTTGTACGAGACTCGACTTGGCGTATGCTGTTGGAATGGGAAGCCGGTATTTGTCAAACCCCGACAAAGAGCACTGGAAAGCTGTCAAGTGGATTTTATGTATCTAATAAGAACATCAAATTTATGCCTCCGCTTTGGAGAATGTAAAGTCAAGTTGCAAGGTTTTACGGATGCTGATTTAGAGGGAGATGCTGACTCGAGGAAGTCGATGACGGGATATCTGATGACATTTGCAGGATGAGCTATCTCTTAGCAATCAAAATTGCATAAGTGTGTGGCACTTTCGACGATCGAGGCCGAGTACATACCGCGACTGAGGCAAGCAAAGAAATGTTGTGAATGAAAAAGTTTCTCTCTGAACTCGGCCATGGTCAAGACAAATACAAGCTAAAGTATGATAATCAATGTGCAATTCATCTTGCGAAGAATTCAACCTATCACTCCCGCACTAAACACATTGATGTGAGGTATCATTGGATCCGGGATATGGTGGAAGATAGATAGATCGAACTCATCAAAGTACACATTGACCTCAATTGGTCTGACATGATGACCAAGTCGGTACCAGCAAGAAAATTTGAAGACTGCTATGAAAGTGTCAGCCTGCTGCTGATGTCGACACATTGAAATCGAAAGGGGGAGATTTGTTGGGCTTTTTCTCCTCAATGTTGCACAAGGCCCAATGTTACTTTTGTGAGGCTCAAGAAACTTGGGGATCAAGAAACCCTAGTTCCCACTTTTGATATTCTAGAATCTTCTCTCCTCTCGCATATAAGCTTGTGATATATGAGAGGTTAGGGTTAGACAATCTTGAGAAAGCACCTCTAGGGAGAAGTTTGAGTGGTAGACCTCCTTTGGGAAGTTTGAGTGAATACCACCATTGAAAGTGAGGTTTGAGTGTACCACAATTATTGGCGAAGTTTGATATCTTGTGCCCATTATTTTCATAGTAGAAGTTTGATTATGGACTAGTGTCCCTCAGATTTTTACTTCTTCACATTGAGAAAGGTTTTCCCACGTTAAAAGATTATTGTGTTTTTCTCTGTCTCTCTCCTCTTGCATTTTTTTGTTTTTGTTGTGTACAGGCCGACCTGGTGACTCAGGCCAACCTCTGATTGGGATTGTCGAGCTCCAAGCTCGACGTTTGATTCGCGACACGCTTCTGTGTCAAGTTGAGGGAACCGAGTTCCCAACATAATCCTGATTTGGTCATTGCTTAATTGCTTAAGCAATGTTTTTCTTGACGTCAATGCACTTGATGAGATGGGAAATTGTATAAATTAGTCGGAGCAAAGATCAATGACCTAATGCTAAGAACAGAGATAAGAGTGGAGAGTTGCCATCATCTGTGGGCTCCTGCTAAGTCAAAGGAGGAAGAGTCAAACAAAGAAGAAGGTTTAGCTTAAGTAACATTTTGTGTTCAATTACTTTTTTTCTTGTATACTGATATGTCAGTATTTGTTACGATGCATTTTTTATTTTTACTGTTGTCTACAGTGATGGTTCATAATTCACATTTTTGTCGTGTATCTATGAGTATACTTTCTCCTTAGGAGTTAAAACTATCCTAATGTTAAAAAAAAAATACCATTAGACAAAATTTTAATAGACATGTTAATTTGTTATCATCATAAACTATGAGGGGTTAATTGAAACAATTAAAAGTACAGGGTGATAATTTGAAACATGACCAAAGTTTAAGGGGGTAAGTGTTATTTTAGCCAAAATATTAAAATCAAATAAAACTATCATTAAAAAATGTATTTTAAAGGGGTAGGTTACTTTTACATCGATATAAAAATAAAAAAATTTATACTAAATCTTGGTCATTGATTTGCTTACATTTAACAATTCATATATCTAATAAATTAAAATTATTAGATATAAATAAGATCAACAACCAAGATTGAAAGTATAACTTACATTGGTGTATAATAACCCTAACCATTTTAAAAAATATAATTTTAATTGAATGTTTTAAGATAAAAGATTTAAAAATATTGGTGAATATGGATATTTTTGTTAGTAGACATGACCATATTTACAATGCAAATGATTGATATAATAATAAAAATCACATTTTTTATCAATGCCATATTAGGAGCGGCATAACACCTTATTCCTCAACTCGTCCCGCACTTGAAATTTGTCGTATAGCCAACTCAAAAAGTCAAAACTTTTGAGAATATTTGAAAGAGTCTACCCTCCTCAAAGAAGTAATTAGGGTTGATAAAAAAAAATTCACATTTTTAAGAACTCAAATAGTACCAAAAGTTAATTGCGTTCACACTTGTTTTAACTTGATAGTTACGATTAGTCAAAGAAAAACTTGATCCTTATAAACGCATAAAATCACTAATAAAGAAGGAATTCTTTACTCACAAATACGTAAAGTCACTGCAGTAACACCCTCATATTCTGTATTTGAAAAATCTGTGTCAATGCACCCCAAAAAAAAAAGATCTCAGTCGTTCAAATAACAACGAGGTGATATAATCTTTCATTTCCTATGCTTAAAAAGAAAGTGGGAGACCCTTCTTGATGCCTTAATAAAAATATTGAATGACCAAAATGGAATACAATCTGTTCTTTGACTGAAACATCCTAGTCAAATTCCAGGTATCAACTTGTAACAATTGTTTCCTATGGTCGCATACTGTGAATAATGACTATAAATTAATAAACTGTAGTTTTATATTCTTCTAGAAACGAGGTAAGATGCCAAGCAATGAACCTATCCACCTTTTAATGTTTCCTGTGGCAGTGACTCTGAGAGGTTAATGAAAGCTGTCATATAGAATTTATAACAAAAGTATTCTTCTTCTGCTGCTGCTGATTTTATTTTTTTTAACCTTTAGAAAAAGTAACAGAGTTCCTATTGTTCATTTTATCACCGAACACGGAACACGACACTTCAACACGACACTCCCGACACGTTAATTTTAAAAAATGTTAGATTTCGACATGTTAGGACACATTTAGATATTAAATATTATTTTTAATTTATGTAATGTATATTATATTTAATACTCAATAATTAAAAAAAAAATAAAGTTAAACTTATACTATCTATCAATTTTGCAAAGAAACATAAAATATCTCAAATATTTATATTAAACTCAATAAATTGGTAGTTGTAATCTAACGAATCTAATAATTGGAACTAAAAACGCAATGCAACACAATCTTTGAACTTTTTTTTTAGTCTCTACAGCACGTGTTAAAGTGTCGGGGAGTGTCGGAGAGTGTCGAACATCACACATTAAAATTTTTGAAGTGTCGGTGCTTCGTAAATTCACATGTACCAAAAAGGGGTGTAGTACATGAGATTCAAACAGTGTCCATGTGTACTTATGTGTCTTGCGGAGGCCAATTTGAATTGTAACTCTAGTTTCTTTCTAGACCCTTTGTATTTCTCTTCTGCATATATATGCATGGTGGTTAGAGTTTTCATCAGTGAGACTCTCCATGTCTATTCCATCAAAGAGTGTTGGCTGTTATAGTGAAAATGATAATGAACTTAGAAGAGGACCTTGGACTCTTGAAGAGGATGATATGCTCATCAAATACATTGCTAATCATGGGGAAGGGAGATGGAATTTGCTGGCTATGAGTTCAGGTAATCTAAGGAAAAGAAAAGAAAAATATTGGTTGCTGATACAATTTTTTTTTTATATTAATTCTGATTATTTCCTTCATCTTTTTCTGAGTCAGGATTAAGGAGAACAGGAAAGAGTTGCAGATTAAGATGGCTTAATTATCTAAGGCCAGATGTAAAGAGAGGAAATTTTACCACACAAGAGAAGCTTTTAATTTTTGAACTCCACTCAAAGTGGGGTAACAGGTGCATATCTCATAATTAGTTTGTGTCTTTGTGAAGCTTAGCTCATTCAACAGCTTTTCATTCTTGAGCACTAAAAGCCATGAGAAGTGTAACTGACCACTATCAATATGCTATTCAATTATACAACATTATGCTTCTTTTGGATTCTTATATTGCTCTTTTATGAATATTGTAGGTGGTCAAAAATTGCACAACAGTTGCCAGGCCGAACAGACAATGAAATCAAGAACTATTGGAGAACTCGGATTCAGAAACATGCAAGTTCCATTGATAGAACAGGATTTCTAGAAATTGCCAAGCGTTTGCAGATGATAAGATGTCTTCAGAAAGCAAAAGAATCATCTTCTTCAGCAGTGTCAATCCAAAACCAAGCAATTCCTTTGCCTCTTGATGGTGTTTCTCATTACTCAGTGATTGGGACAATACCAACACAAATCGCTTGTCATGGAGCTTGTATGAATGAAGGAGATCCCACTTTTTTGAATCAGCATGAGCACAACTCAGATTCTGACCACAACAATGGTTCATGTATATCCTCTTCAGAATCAGCAAATATCCCAAATATGACTTTGGGATACACTAATAGTCAATTTCAGGCCTTGGATAACAGTGACTTTAGTTCATGTGCATATGATGGTTACCAAGTAAATAACAATAATGCCTATGAAATGGGTGGCTTCAACCTAACAACCACAATGGTCGCTGAGGATCTGGAATTCCCAATGTATGATTGTCAAATGTCAGAAAGCAATTGCCTAAACAAGGAATTTGCATATGGCTGGAACATGGATGAATTATGGCAATTTAGGAATATACAAAAATAATAATTTGTAGTTATTTTTATACCAACTTTAATTACCTCTTCGAGGTAGTCGGTTGATATCTCTACAAGTTTCAACTCTTTGAGTCGGTTATAAGATTAATTTTAAGTCGGGACCTAATCATATTTAAAGCTCTTCCCCTCTCTTCCCACCTACTCAAGTCTGTGTTGTAACTGAACTACATCTATTTAATATTTATAATTTGTTTTAAGAATCACTTGAACAGTATCTTGAATTTTATGATACTACTTGTTATCAGATAGAGCTACCATTATATAGAGGGTAATTGTTTTATTGTACATTAAGACAATAATCAATTGTTCTGTCTTTCTCTGCTCTGATGAATTATTCATAGCACCCAATTTGGAAAAACAAGTGCATGAAGTAACATTTATAGATATTTCATGAACATTAACAAATTGACTTGCATGGTCGACTTTCTGCTCATACAAAATTAGATTTTGAATTCAGTTTCAAGACAATTCATTGCTAGGCAATATCTAATCCACAAAACATACTTTTACAATGGCAATTCTTCTTCTAATTTAAAATTTTATAACAGTAGAAAAAAATTAAAAAAACAAAGATTTCATAAACAATTCAAATACTTTTACAAACTTTCTTATGAAGATTTGTCACAGTTCAAGCACTGTGATAATACATGGAGAAAGGTCCACGAGTGAATAGAAGATCAATGTAGAAGAAAGTGGAAAATTGCAAAAGATTAAGAATAGCCTCGAAAAATGTTCGGCAAAAAAATTAAAATATTGTATTTAAATAAAATAATTACGCATTTAATGTTGTTTCGTAAAAAATTACACATCTACTGCACAATGTGACGCCAGTTTTGGGCGTCACATGTGACGCCCCATTGGGGCGTCTTATCCATGGGAGAGACGCCCCAATGGGGCGTCACATGTGACGCCCAAAACTAGCGTCACATGTGTGCTCTATATATTTCCTCACCCCCTCCATTCAATTCACACCTCTTCTCTCACTCTTCATATCTCTCTTCTCCACCAACATTCCTTTATCTTTAATTTAGTATTTGAATTTTAGTTGTAATTCTATTTAAAAATGAGTTCAAATCCTGATTCTGTTCGTGTTGTGTTATATTACAATGGTAGGAATGTAGAAGGTCGACGAGGTGTCATATTCGAAGGTGAAAAAAGGCCGACACGTATCCAACGCAACACAACCATTGGCGAATTGCATCAGAGAATTCGGAAGAAGTTAAGTCTTCAAGACAACCAATGTATCACTGAGATCACGACAAGGGTGTGGCAAGGTGATAAATACATTAGTTTGAAAGTGCTTGACGATGAAGACTTGGAGATGACAATGGAAGAATTTTGCAACCAGTCAAGGACAGATTTTCTAGAGTTGTATGTTGACATCGTTGCAACGGAGAATGCTCCCATACCGGTGAGGTCAGTTTATTTAAATTCTCCCCGTCTTCCAGCTTCTCCTGCCGCTCATGCGTCTCCAGTTGGTATCTTTTCTGAGGGAGATGAAAATGATCCGACTTGGGAAATGCACGACGAAGATGACGATGATGACGATGAAAATATGGCAATGGAAGAACATCTTCTGGCGGAGGATGCTAGTGCTTCAGAAGGAGATGAATCTCGTGAGATGAGTGCGTCTGAAATTCCAATATTCCATCAACCAGTCGTCGCGCAAATGCCACAGTTGAATGACGTTGCGTCTGCTCCGTTTGGTATTCCACAAGAAGGTAATTGTTCCCATTTGTATACTGCGTGAATAAATAACTGATTTAATGTTGCCTGAATTAGTAGTAAGTTCGTATTAAAAATTATAACCCGCAATTGCAGGTGACACAGATGTTATTCCTTTTTGGGAAGGAATTCCGCATTATTCTTACATTGATTGGAGTTATCAGAGCGAACAAGAATCATGTATTGATGGTTCGGTGTCTGGATCGGCTTCAATACAAGGTCCGTGGCAACTGGGTGACATGTTATTTGTCAATCAAGAATTTGCGACAAAAAAAGAGTGTGTCCAATTTGCGACATGTTATTCTATATACGGCTGCCACACCACCTACAAACAAAATGTGAAACAATATATAGAGTTACAAAAAAAAATAAACCCATAGACAAATAACAACACCGTAAGTATCTAACACCAAACCTAATCTCTACAGAGTGTGTCCAATGTTGCCCGATAATGGGTGACCTCATGAGGTTTAAACTTTTGTACAGCATTAAACCTGTCAATCAAAAACATTATCAACCATACATAATCGTCCAAAGTCAAGAAGTATACAGTTAGTACATACAGTATTAACCATACATTATCGAAATCAAATGAAGTAAATAAATCATACCGGCATCCATAATGTGTGCCCGGCTGTGGATGAGGAGGAAGGGGTGGAGCAATGGGTGGGAATCGTATCCATGCCCAAATTTGAAGGAGAATATGGCAACCACCCATGTCGCTTCGACGGGCATCTGTCACTTCACACAAATTCCTGAACAAGTGTGTCAAAACTGCAGATCCGCAGCTGAATCGGCCAATGTCCTCAAATCCTCCACTAGCAACGGGACAAGCCGACAACCAAAATTGCTACCTCCAGACTTGTCCGCCAGCAACCAAGTCCCCAACATCCGCGCAATGTGAGCTTTTGTGAAGTAGATCTCGGCAGCATGATTCCCTTCATGATTAGTCCACCGGGTATAATGTCGATCCAAGAATGAGATGCGGAGGTCGCCAGAATGATGGAACTCACCGGCCTCTGGAACATGTCCAAAAACACCAGCACAAGCAGCGTGCCAATCCTCAGAGGTCGATCCGATGACGACAGTACCGTCGGTCGGCAAGCCCAAGATGCCTGCCACATCTTGTAAGGTGATCGTCATCTCACCTTGGGTCATGTGAAAGGTATGTGTCTCTGGTCTCCACCTCTCGATCAGAGCACTAATTAAAAATGTATCTATCTGTGATAAATTACGCAGTTATCACGTGTTAACGAATTACATTATTTAATTACATAAATACAAAACGACATAAATAACATACCTGGATATGTTGCATCCTGGCAACATGTATGAAACCCGCCTGTCTGAGGTACTCTTCCACAACCTATGGAATAGCACCGGTAGGTGGGCCCCCTTGTGGCTTCCCACGCCTCGTCTTAATCTTTCTTACATGCTCAGTATTCCACACACGCTGTGAAATATGACCTTTCTGCATCCTCTGACGAAGGACCTCCCACCTGTAGGGTCCAGGTATGATCGACATGCTGGGATCGGTGGGCTCTACATCCGAATCAGATCCCGAAGAAGATGATGACTCAGCCATTATCCTTAACTAACTACAAAGTTATGCACTCCCGCATTAATAACATCATACATACGAAATTTACAAAGTCTCTAACACTATTTATAAATCACTAATTAATATGCTAAACCCTAATACATAATTAAAAATCAGTAATAATAATAACTACGTAATAATAATATTACTATATCATTACAACATTCATAGCATGACACAAAATTTCTAAGTGACTATCCTAATGTTCCAAGTCTTTAATATACAATCAATCCTAACATGTATTACTAACTAGCACTGTAATTTAAATGTATACATATGAGGTATTATGACCTTACCTACGTTGGCAGAGCTTCGCTACGAACCGCGGTTAGAGAGAGGTTGGAGAGGTAAATGAGTAAGGAGTGAAAAAAGGAAAGTATAGGTTGCACATGAGACGCCCTCTTTGGGCGTCACATGTGACGCCCCACTGGGGCGTCTTCTCTAGGAGAGAGACGCCTCACTGGGGCGTCACATGTGACGCCCAAAGAGGGCGTCTCATTGTGCAACAGATGTGTAATTTTTAACAAAACAGCATTAAATGCGTAATTATTTTAATTAATTACATTATTTTAATTTTTTTGCCAAAAATGTTCGCATTGAAAGATTTTCACATTCTATTCAGAATGATTAATGGCGGCTTTTTACCGAACAAATGTTTTTCACACAAAAAAAACATTGTCTATTTAATTTATTTTTCAAAAGATATTTCAATGTGTGGGACTTGACATACAAGATAAGTTCCACACGTTAACGATACAGGACTTAATGCAATGTGAAAATCATGCATGTTGACCATGTGACTTAATATCAATGTGTAAATCTCGCATGTTTGTCATAAAATTCTGTATATTCAACATGCAAGATTGCTGCATTGGTATTAAGTCTTGTATGATCAATATATGAAACTTAAAAGATGTGGTCAACGTACGAGATTGTCACGCTAACTTTAAGTCTCGCATTGTTGACGTGCAAAATTTTTCTCTTACGGTTGACATGCGGGGTTGATCGCATTAGTTTGAAATATCTTCTAAAATATAAATTGAATAATTTTTAAAAAAATAGGTTTGGTCAAAAAGCCAATTAATGATCTTTGTGACACAATTGTGAAACAATTATTTTCGTAAACAAATATATTATAATTCTTAACCAAAAAAAAATCAGCAATAAAAAAACTATAACAGCACAATAGAACATAGTATTACGGCAACTTGAGCATAAGATCACAATTTAAAGACGATATTAGTATACAATGGGGGAGCCATGTTCCAATTTAAGCTCGAGTCAAAAAATTATCTGTATATTTATTTTTTAAAATTTTAGTTAGTTCATATATAATATATTTAAATTATATTAAATACAAAATACTTGAGCAAGCATCACCAAGAAGACTTATAATTTTATTAAATACTTTTAATTTTACTAAAAATAATTTTTTTATACAAGTGAAAATTAAACACATAACATAATATAACTTATCTAAATCTCTCACCAAAAATATTTTAAGTTTTACATAGGACCAAATTACAAATTGTAGTCGAGGTCGAATTATAATTAATTATACAATTATATATAATAAGTATAATTTGTTAAAATTTACACCCAAATTATATATGGCTCCGTCATTGCTAGTACACCTACCAAAAAAAAAGTCCCTACTGGTGTGGAATTTTTTATTTTTTTTTGGTAAACACTAAACACTAGTGTGGAATTTTAAATTTGGGGTGAATCTCTTAATAAAAACCCAAAAAAAAAAAAAAAAGATTTTAGAATAACATACATTATATAAGAATCAATCTTATTTTATTTTTGTAACATTATAAGAATCAATATTATATATGAAAATACAATATTATTATTAATTATAATGATGTAATTATAAATATTTTTATATTACCAAATCATCTATGAAAATAAATTTAAAAAATGAAAGAAAAGAAAATAAAGAGCGGCTAATCTAACGGTCAGGATACATAATATTTTTCACTAAATCGAGCCGTCCAATAACAGCTAATCTGAACCGTTTATTCAATCTTTATAAAGAGTTTAATCTCAGAAATTAGGGTTTACACTCTGCTGCGAGAACAGAGCACGGACTATCTCACTGCAGCGGATCTCCAAGGAGCTTGCATCTTCTCGAGGTGAGGTAAGAACCTGATACCCTTTTAGAATTTGTAGCACTTCGCAAATTCTTAAACAAAATCAATGGAAAATGGAATAAAAGTTTTACTTTTTAGATTCTCTGCAAAATATGTTCTTTCGTGCTAGGGCTGCTATGAAAGTTTGACCAATGGTTCTGCTTTGATTTGTTGGGTTTATAGGGAATTCGCTCATAAATTTTTTTTTATTTTTATTTTATTTTTTTATTTTTTTGCATTCTTTCAATGAGATTCAGAGACATACAGTACCTTTAGCATTATCTTGAAGTGATGGCAATCCTTAATTTTCATGGGTTCGTTAATCTGTAACCTGACGTTATGACATGATTCTTAGTCTTATTTGTTTTGTTACTCTCTTTGTTTCCTCTATTACCTTAAGCATTGTTTTATAAATAGCTGGGTGATTATCTTTGCCTCCATGATATATTGTTCAAATGAGAATAGCATATACTTTTGAACTTACAAACTATTGTTTCAATTTGACTCTGTTGAGAGGAACTGTAACACTTTTGTACCATTAGGGCTGTTATTATCTTGTCAATCCTGCGAATATTTGACTTATTCATGCTGCAATGTCCTGTATTCTGGACAGTTTGTTGGTGTAATTGATAGGAGATGGAACTAGCTATTGAAAATAAGATCAACTTGTTTCTTCTTTATTTTAATGTTATTGTTGTATGTGTGATTTAGTTCTATCTGTCTATTCACTTAATGATTATGATGTGCTTGTAGTTATTGCTTTTATAAAACTCAAAATACACCTCTCACCTAGTTCTCTTCTTTGTCTACAGTTGTGAAGATGTACACATCAAGGAAGAAAATCCACAAAGATAAGGATGCGGAGCCAACTGAGTTTGAGGAATCAGTTGGACAGGTTTTGTTTCGATTATGAACTATTATGGTTGCTATGGATGCTAATCAGTTTTAATTGTAATGTATAAATATTTTTGTTCAAAATGTGTTGTTGCAGGCATTGTTTGACCTGGAAAATACCAACCATGAACTGAAAAGTGATCTGAAAGATTTATACATAAATTCAGCAGTGTAAGGATGTGTATTACTTGGTTGTTTGTGTGAAGATACATGAGAGTCTTTTTTTTGTCTTATTAGTAGCATTTTTTATGATCTACAGCCAAATTGATGTTTCTGGGAACCGCAAGGCTGTAGTTATCCATGTCCCCTACAGATTAAGGAAGGGTTTCCGGAAGATTCATGTCAGGCTTGTCAGAGAGCTTGAGAAGAAATTTAGTGGAAAGGTAGGCAGATTCTTGAACCTTTGCCATATATAATTCATTAGATTGGTGATTATTCTTGCTATATTTGACCTCCTTTATCTTTTAAGTTGCTTAATTTTTTTTTCATGAAACAATTCTAGTCATCTATAAGGCTGATATAAAAGCAAGCTGCTGTGCAGCTACTGTATTGATATAATTACAGTAGCCTTGAAAAAATTGCGACCACTTTTTCCAGATTCCTAGTATTCAAGTTTTTTCTGTGTGATGCTTCATTGTGTTATATGTTATGAACCTTAAACTTGTAGGATGTAATCTTGACTGCCACCCGGAGGATATTAAGGCCACCAAAGAAAGGTTCTGCTGCTCAGCGTCCCCGCACCCGAACACTCACTGCTGTGCACGAGGCAATGCTGGAGGATGTTGTATTGCCTGCTGAGATTGTTGGAAAGCGTGTTAGGTATAGAATCGATGGATCCAAGATCATGAAGGTAAAGCTACTGAAGTTATAGAACTTTCAAATTTGTTCCTATTGTGTTCAATTAACCATTAAAGATTTAAATAAAATACCTCTAGTTAGCCAAGCTAATGAGCATGCATGTAATATTGGAAAATAAATACTTTTGTTAAACTTGTGTCAATGTCATGTATTTTAAGTGAATTCTTGGCTTTCTCTGAATAGGTGTTTTTGGACCCTAAGGAGCGAAACAACACTGAGTACAAGTTGGAGACTTTTTCTGCAGTATACAGGAAACTTTCGGGCAAAGATGTTGTGTTTGAGTATCCAATTGCAGAGGCTTAGGTTCTCGTTTGTTAGTTTTGAATTTATCCATGAATAGCATATGGTGGATGCTGGTTAAAATTTTGTTCAAGTTGGGGCTTTTCATGCTGGATTTTCTTTAGTTTCTTTTAAAAAGTACTGTGGCCTGGTGCATCAACGTAGCATTTGATATGTTTTCTTATAAAATCTAAACGATTCTCCTATTTCTAAATTTTGTTCTGTATTTTGATCTGGAATGGTAGTAAATTAAGTAGCACCGATACTGACACGGGACACGTGATACGAGTCTCGCCAGCGCATGGGCATGGGCCATGGCTAATATGGTATTTTTTCTATAATATATTATTGGGAAATATGTTTTTTATGTAGCATGAGACAATATGTAACACAAAAAAGCTAATGGGCCTAGTTTTTTTTTTTACATGAGACAAATTATCTTATGTAATATGAGAAATTATATTTTGGATATGTTAAAATGCCTTTGAACATTCTGATCATGAATTTGGTGTAAGATGTTGTAAAAACGTTAATAAACATTTTCTAATTTTGTACTCTCAATTTCAAAAAGATTTCTAGTTAATAGTTGAAGTGTACTTATTTCCATTTATACTCGGTACTTCAGACAAATAAAAGTCTTAACTTCACGAGAGTGCCCAGCTTCTTCTGGTTAGTATATATTGTAATAATTTAATATGCGATAGGATCAATTTCACCGGCTTAAAATAATAAATTTTATATTTAATTTTAACTGTTGATTTGTAAAAATAATAAATTGTATATTTGATCTTAATTATTGATGTCATCTATCAAATGAGAATTTGGATCATCTCATGTGAAAAAGTGATCATGTGGTCATGTTATTTTATCATAATCACTTATTCAAAAGTTATACATTTTTCTCTCTCTTATCTCATCATCAATGAATAATTATGATCTCTCTCTTATCTCATCATCAATGAATAATTATGATCAAATTACATAACTACATGATCATTTTTCCATGAGAGGATCCAAATCAATCAAATTAATTAATTAATTAATTAATTTCTTACTTGACCATCAATCATTAATTTTTTTATTAATTAATTATTAATTCTTAATAAATTATAACTATCAAATGTACGAAAATTAAATTAAATGCAAGAGTTATTATTCTTCTAATAAGAAAATTATGTCAGTATTTTTTGTTTGGCATGTTAGAATGACATGCTTATTCAATATGGAAAAATTTCAGATGAAAGAATGAAATTTTGTATATAGACAACCCTTTACTAAAATCCTTGGTAGGGAGTCTCCTGTGGGCTCTAGCAAAAAAAATAAAGATAAAATAAAAGTTGAACACTTCTATTGCTTTGTATTTGATTAAATATATAATTTGTGAACTCATTAAGTACAAATAGAGTTCCATGCAAGTCTTTCATGAAAATTTATCGCAACTTTCATTGAAAGAATAGGATTATCCATTTGATAGTAAAATTTAAACAAAATCGTTTTCTAAGATGAATTTCATGTCATCTTACATCTCAAACTATTTCAACTATAAAATAAGCCCTTCTGTGTCCATTACAGCCGAAGATCCTCAAGCTTGTCATAATTGAATTAATGTGTAGCCAAACAAACATCTAAATTCAAAAGTACCAGACTCATTAAGATGCTTAATGAAGCAAAGCAAAAGCCTCAATACTCGTATTTTATCACATAGATCAAACTATTTTTGTACTAGCATATAAATATGATATTACAAAAAGAATACCCCTAAATAAATAGATAAAGCTTATTACACTTTACACAATATGAATGGAGTTCATCTGCCTTCGTCAAAAGAAGAAGTAGAAATAGAATTTCTAGAATAATCCTCTACAAAACTACTACCACCTGAGGCTTTGGTTGCACTACTAGCAGTAGTATTGGTGAAAGCAGAAGTAGTGGTTGTAGTCCAATGTCCAACACGACCTTGAATTCCTGGTTTACCTGGTCTAGGCAATGTGAAGGAGTCACTTGAGAGCATGAGATGAACAGAATTCATGTCTGGTCTATCGATTATACTTGCTTGACAGCACAACAAACCTAGCTGAATGCACATTGCTGCCTCATCACCATTGTATTTACCAAGGGTTGGGTCAATTAAATCCATAATCTTCCCTCCTTGATAAAGCGTCCAAGCCTACAAATACAGTAAAGAAATTGACCATGTATGTGAGAAATGGTCACATATTATTCTTAATAATCAGCATTGGTTATGGTTTGAAGTTCATGTTAATTCCCTTTGACCACTTAAGTCAAAAAATAGGATCCACTATACATATCATTCCATAACATGCAGGTTTTGTTGCCCAGTTAACATGAAGCAAGATGTTTTATGATGCCATGTTAATGCAATTAACGATTGTAGATGACCAATTACATATGGTCTTACTATTATTCCAAGGAAGACATATTCATCTCAACATCAAATGTAATATGGAGATAAACACAACCACTTCCTTTGCAAAAGTAGATAAACAGCAAAATTCGCTTGTCAAGAAAAAAAATAGGCACTTTCACCAGCACATGAGATTTGTCTATACCTCCAATTCCTTGGACTTGGACTATTTTACCCTGTTTACAGAATAACTTTTTGAGAAAGAAATTTTAACATAAAGGCCGCCTAGTGCACAAGACTCCACGATTATGCGGGAGGGGAAGAGGGTAAGATGTACGCAACCCTGGTGGATGAAGAGGCTATTTTGTGACTGGAACCTGTGACCACAAGGTTGCACCAAGGTTCACCTTTAAAACACTATACATGGTAACCAGGAGAAAGACTTGGGTAAAGGAGTACTGTCAACAGAATTTATTCAGAAACATGCCCGTTTGGGCACTAACATTAACATATATAAGTGAATATCAAGAACAAGAATCATGACTTGACGCGGCTTTTTTCTATTTTTAACCCTACATATACTTAGAAAAGATGCATTTTTTTAAGTAAAAGAAAATATGCATATTACAGCAGCTGATAGTTAATTTATCACAAGAACCACAGTTTATGAGCATAATCAGTCCATACTAAATTCACATTCATGCCTCCTCTGTGATCACTTACGTAGTTCAAGAGATCTGCCTTTTCTGCACCAAGCTGCTTGTCATGGTTTTTTCTCCCACTAACTATTTCCAACACCAGGACTCCATAACTGAAAACATCTGTCTTCACAGACAGATATCCTCGCAATGCATATTCAGGGGCCATGTAACCACTGCATTCATCAAATGTAAAAGCGTAAGGATGCCTACATCAGAATAACAAACAACAAGAAGTGGAGAATCTACTCACTGTGTACCGGAAATCCTAAATGTCTGCACATGAGTGTCCTCCCCAGGAAACAGCCTTGCCAAGCCAAAGTCTGAGATTTTTGGATTTAATTTCTCATCCAGCAATATGTTACTAGCTTTAATGTCTCTGTGGATAATTCTTTCTGGGGCCTCTTCGTGCAGGTAGAGAAGTCCTCTTGCCACACCTGTAATTATTCTAAATCGTGTTGTCCAGTCCAAAGATGAAGACTTCCTTTTATCTGAAAATAGTTATAACTATTAATCACTGCCCACATCAACCAGAAAACAAAGGGGATAAAATGTAAACATCCGATCTAGTAAAAATTGTTCTCAGTACCAAACAGGAAGTGATCAAGGCTTTTGTTTGGCAGATACTCATAGACAAGCATTTTTTCACGTCCTTCTGCACAACAACCCAGTAATATAACCAAGTTCTTGTGCTGAAGTTTTAGTAATAGCTTGACTTCATTGGTAAATTCCCTAATTCCTTGCCTAGATGCCAATGACAGCTTCTTAACAGCCACTTCTTGACCATTTGGCATCAATCCCTGCAGAAAGAGTGCATAATTTAATGAAATTTTTCTCGACAACAGGGTACAAATCAACCAATAGCCAACTACCAACACAGTTTCAGAGTAGGCAGAAAGCAAGGAAGTGAGACAGCCACTTCTGATTAAACCCCAATCAGCGATGCTTGGGGTGTGGGCAATCCTTGTATGTAGTTTTACCATTGCATATTTTTTGTAAAGAGACTTTCTTAGATTTGAGCCCATAACCTTTCAATCACAAAGAAGCAATGAGTTAAATAAATTAGAATAACCTTTTTGTTTCAGAATTTAAATAAACCTCCCTTCTCTCCGGCCATCTCGGTTTCCTCATTTTGTTCTTTACTTTATTTTGTTTTTGAAGATGCCATAGACAGTTTAAGAAGAACAACTGCATAGCAGCAAGTCATCGGCATCACTACCACACCTTAAGGGATTATTGGAATGTTACATGATATTCTCTGATTTTTCAATTTGGACAATTTGAAGGATTGGCGGAATTTCAACACGAAATACATTTTTCTTAATGTCACTGTGGGGTAAATAAAGGAAATCCCACATATGCTTTAAGAATATCAAATCGAAGATTCTATGTAAAGAGTGTCCAAATTTATTTACTTAGTCAAATTTCAGTGTTGAAAAACAGCCCAAAAACACGAAATCTCCAAAACTAGTAACGACAATGGAAGATATTCAAGGCAACTGGATCCAAAAATGTTTGATAGCTAGCTAACTGCTTAATAATCCTCATCAGCTATGATTCACATGTAAGCATCATACTATGAGCCTAATACATAAAAAAGAGTGCAGTGATTGACCAAATAATCAGCATGCCCAGTGCCCAAGAATAGAACTTTGCAGCATTTCTTGCAACAACTTCCAATTCCCACACAAGGGCAAGTGAGAAATTGGTGTTTTGAAAAGGGAAAAAAAAAAAAGTTACCTTGAAGACAGGACCAAACCCTCCATGACCGAGCTGGTTAAGGTCGGAGAAGAAATTGGTGGCCAGCTGGAGAGTTTGGAGGGGGAAGATGAGGTCCCAAGTGTCGCCGCCATCGTTTGCATCGTCGCCGCAGCCGTCGTCGGAGGCTGCGCCGCCCCTCTTCAGACGCTTCTCCAAGCACTTGCACAACCAGGACAGGAACCTCATGGACACAACGACTTCGTTTTACAAAAGAGCGCGTACTCCGAGGTTGGTCCAACACCAACACAAAATGTTTATGACTTAACCTCCAAAAAAAAAAAAAAATGTTTATGACTTTGTGTGATGTTTGTCCAATTCATGTTCTTTTTCTTTTTTTTCCCTCAACATAATGTACTATTCCAATCCATGTTATCTAAATTTTTGTTTATCTTATTATAAGAGATAAATTTATTTTTTTATGTACATAGAAAATAAAATTTATCTTACGTTAACCTCAACTTTAAAATATTGCCATCCATTCTTTTGTCCGATTCCAAATACAGGCCGTCTAATTCCATTGGTTGTCTAATTTTTTATGATAATCTTGATTAAGTCAAAAGCGATAAGAAACTTTGAAATCATCACTCGTTATAGAGAATTTTTGGTAGAGGAGAAAATATTTTTTATTTAAAAATTATGATTTTCAAAAATATAGTAGAAAAATAAATTTTTAAAATCTTACGTAAAAGTTATTTAGTAGGCTAAAATATTACTGGAATTTTTGTCATAATTTTCATATCTAATTTTCTATTTTTTCTGGAAAATGATAATTGGATAGTATTCTTAGGTGGTATTTTGATTTACTTTTTATACCTAAAATAAAATCTCGAATTTTTTTTCAAAAATCTTTTACCAAACATGAATAAATTAAATTACCATCCTCACTTTTTTAAAAATCTGAAAATAAATCATTTACCAAACACCGTATAGTTTATTCTCCGTTGCCTGTCTTTTAAGTAATTTCATCGGGCTTTTTGACCCTTATAACCCTTTATTATTAATTAATTACCGATTTGACCTTGATTATAAACTATTTCAAAAATTTAACCCCCTCAGAAAACATAACACCAATCTGCCCCTGTTTGACCGTTGACCACCAAGCCTACCCGGGTACACCCCTCTGTACCCGGGTATTTTTTGAAAATTTTTGTCTACCCGGGTAGGGAGGCGTGTACCCGGGTATTGTTCTTCGTACCTGAAAAATTGCTTGAATTATTTACCCGGGTATAGAGGGGTGTACCCGGGTAAATCTTCGACCACCCATTTGGTATTTTCTCTCTCTTTTTTACAGCTAATGAGATAGATCAGTATTATCAAGTTAAGCATGCCTAACCAATTTGAAGAGCTTTTAGCTTTGAGAATGGATTTGGAATTTCCATACATCAACACTTTACTGCTCATCAATGCGGTCCCTGTTCGTATCGATTATGATGGGGTCTACTTTTATGTACGTCAAAATCGCGCTCCTATATATAAATGTGGTACCGGGTCTATTGGGGAGAGTGAGACGGAAAGAAAATAAAGACAGGGTTCATGGTACAGAAATTTAGTGTGAGCATGCAGCTTTTCATTTTACTGGTAAATGACGAATTATCACGTTCAGGGAAGACATGCATGGGACAAGGTTTGTGGTTGTGGATTTATACTGTTAACTGAGAATTCTCTTTCTGAAATAATCATTGAAAAATATTTGTGTGCTTTACAGACCCAAAAAAGTTGCAGAGGCAGAGCACGTGATAGTCGGTGCCTCTATATTCAAAGCTTGGAGAAGAAGAGTGCATGGGAGATCCAAAGAGTAATCATACCGGGTGGTTGAAGATTTACCCGGGTACACCCCTCTCTACCCGGGTAAATAATTCAAGCAATTTTTCAGGTACGAAGAACAATACCCGGGTACACGCCTCCCTACCCGGGTAGACAAAAATTTTCAAAAAATACCCGGGTACAGAGGGGTGTACCCGGGTAGGCTTGGTGGTCAACGGTCAAACAGGGGCAGATTGGTGTTATGTTTTTTGAGGGGGTTAAATTTTTGAAATAATTTATAATCAAGGTCAAATCGGTAATTAATTAATAATAAAGGGTTATAAGGGTAAAAAAGCCAATTTCATCGCATTAAGTCTCCTTTACGTAGTTAAGGTAAGCTGATAGCTACAGTTTTGCAATATTTAATGATGACTGTGTAAATTTTAATTTTTTCAATCATTTTATTCTTATTTTGGAGATTTTTTCGACGTTTAATTGATTAATTCAAATGCAACAAAATTATGTATATTAAATTTGTAACATAACTGTATATTAAGATTGAAATTTGAGATCATTATTCATTAGTTAAGTTGAAATAATTGTGTGTCGATTGATTTACGTTTAATTATTTTTATTCTTAATTGTGTACTTCTTTTATGACTCGTATTTTTTTTTATAGACCTTTTATGACTCATTTTGATAACGAAGAAGATGAAGAAAACACATGAAAAGGAAAAGGAAGATGTACGGTAGCAGCAACCAATCGCCATTCATGACATTTATTATTTTGGTCAGAATTTCAACTTGGATTATTGTTTGGGTTTTATTAATCTCATGTTAAAGGAGATAAATTATCTTATGTCATAAAGATAAATTTATGGGCTCTATTATCTGAAAAAATAAAAAAAAAATAGCACAGTTATCGAAGAATATGTAAGAAAAAATTATGTAGCATAAAAATAATTTTTCTACACAATATTTCCTTGTCATTAAGTATGTACTATTATTGACGTGGATACAAACTTGCCACGGAGAGAGTCAACAAGTTTATGCAGTTGTTAGGAACTCTTCTCGCGTATGTTTCTTCGAATCTTACTCCCTTAATTAAATATTGTTGTGCCATATTCATTCAGTCAATCTTAACTTTTTTATGGGAAAAATGTTATCTCCGGACAAATTTTTTATGTTTTTACTTAAATTTAATTTTTTTTATTTCTTTTAAAAAAACCGTATTTCTCATTTTTTCCAAATCAAAATACACAGTGATTTCAATTATCTTCTTCTAACTATCTATTAACTTAAATCAAATTTTCCAGTGTTCTCAAACCCATGGCACCTTTTGGTGCAACCTGTCTCCTACCCTGAAGAGTGCCATTGATGCAGCCACCAAACTCTTATAATCAACAACAACAGTAATGATAAGTGTATGTCTCTAATATTTTGCTCATTTTCTATTGTGGAACTTCATTGTAAGAGTTGTTAAACTCTTTTTCTGTTTTTAGACTATTTCTTATATAATTATGTGATTTATATCTTAAAAATATTAAGTTTTTCATTGAAATTTGAGTAGTGACTTATGTGATTTTTTACACACACACATATATAGAGAGAGAGAAAAAAAAAACATTTCTCAAGCAACTTGAGATAAGTTTATCACCGGCTACCCAAAACTACGTCATTTTATTTATTTATTTTCTTATATTAATTAATTCACCCTTGAATTGTTATGATTCTCTTCTTTTATCACCATTGATCCACCTTTGTACGGTTATGATTTAATAGCCGGAGATAAAATTATCTCACGCAGCTTGAGAAACGATAAGCTCATATATATATATATATACATATATATATGTATATATATATACATATATATGTATATACTTTTGTATCATGACTTTAAATAGTAGAAACTTTACATTTCGTATTGTTTCTATTATTTACGTTTCTACCACCTGGTTATGTTTCTACGTAGAAAATTGATTTTGACAACATTGGTCTCAACCACTAACGCATCCAAGAAATTTTATTTATCTCCGCACACGTAGTGGTGGATTCAAGGGCAGCGTCTCCGGGAAATTTTTTTAAAGATATTTTTAAATACATTAAAAAATAAAAGAATATAAACAAGAAAAGAAAAAAAAATGAATAAACTTCTTCGATTGACAAGCTTTGACTTTAAGTCAGCTCTAATGATGTGCGGATACTGAGCAATTATAAAGGAAAGTGATGTTTGCCTAACATTAAAACTCTTCAAGGGATTTAGCATTTGGCTTCACCTTCTCCTCCAACCCAAATCCAATAATATAAGGGTGTTTGGTTCAAGTTTTTGGAGAGGATTACCGGTAATCCTTCTTTGGTAAATGTCATTACCACATTTGGTAGAAGGAATAAATTACGATTCCCGGATATCCAAGGATTACCGGTAATTTGATTTATAAAGAAAAGTCACTATTCAGATTACCAAAAATAATATGGTAATTCGGAATACCAATCAGAATACCAAGTAAAGGGAAAGCACAACAATAAATTTTGAGACAAAAATACCCCAATACACATAAAAATCTAGACCCAATCTATCAATTACAAAAGTAAAAATAGTTTGGGGTTATTTTTGTAAAACAACCTCATATTCCAAGTCATATTTCGTTCTAAACCAAATATGGAATCAGTAATTTTTATCCAATATTTCCGGTAATATTTTGGCGAACCAAACACATCTTTCGTAAGATTCCAAGTAAACTCAATTTTTACTGAATTCCCATTAATCATGATTCCCGGTCACCAAAAAATTTCTCCTGTACCAAACACACCCTTAAGGGATTTCTTTATCAGGCTAGCAATGACTAATCTTGGAATTCTCAAGCTTTCTAGGTAATCCACAAAAAGTTTGATGATTCTAGCAACTCGCATTTCCAAAATCTCTAGGTATTTAGTTAAGACGCTTCTAATTTCTCTTCTTTCGACACCAATTCCAACCAAATAAGCAATCGATGTGCCCATGGTTCCCTAAGTTTGAATTCCAGCACTTTAAGAAAGTTGACACACAAAAATTTGTGTCTGGACATACGGTCATTTGCCCTAAGTAGGTCCGCCTCTGTTCTCAACCACCAGTGAATTTATATGACATGATTAAATGAAGTAATTAATTGCTCTAAATTAAATAAAGATAATTTAGTAAGAAAATTATTATAATGATATATAGCTCGCTTTTGTGTTTCTTAACTCATGTCCCTTCTTGCACCAAAATGATACGTAATATCAACTAAGAAACAATTTCTTATAAGAATGACGTACATCAACACGTAAAAGAAAGTTGACTTTGAATAATAAGTGGTTGGAGTTCATATTATTATCGTCAACCTCTGAGGGGTTTAAAAATGAATTAAATGGAATCGGCACTTTTCAAGCTAGTTTAACTTTTTTCTTTCTTCCACTAGTCGAACAAAGCTCTGACATTGTTTTCCGGATCATGCAGTGCATC